AAGAGAAAGAACCGTAGTAACCTGCATGTTCATCCACCGTGACTTACAACATGATAGCAGTGAACATGAGTCCAATTGAGTGAGGGAACAGAGACACCTGTAATACATGTATGAGGACTTATGTTGATTGGTCCAGCTCTGAATCCAATACTGACATCCACAAAGGGGTAGGACAAGTAATCCCAATTGAAGGGGTGAACTGCAATTTTGATAGCTCACTCCAAAGCTACAACATCCCTTTGGATAAACCCTTCAGAGATGGAGCATCAGATTGGAGGACATCTCGTCATCTACACCAGCAGAACACCACTGCCCTACTCTCCAATGAATGGATTTAGTATTCTTCGCATTGTATATATATCGATGACATTCAGGAGGATGCCTCCATGGTCCACCACCCCAGTGACATGGAATTGGAAAGTGGTAAGGACTCCAATACTCCACTGGAAGAAACAGGGGGAAGAAAATGCATTGGAGAGTCTGAAGGAACATCAACACCGGAGACAGTGCAGTGGGTGACCACAAAAGCCCTATTTTGGAAAGCCGACCACTCCTGATTTATTCAATCTAAGGAATGTCAGGGATGGGCAGCTATCCTCTTCTGCTATTTTCATGGAATCCATGGGTTAGTATGGTCCAGAACAGACATATTAATGAAGCAGATATATTCCAAAGAAAATATGAGTGATCTTGTGAATACCTCATCTCAACAGTGTGTGTTTAGTGGCCATGGAAATTATAGTTTTTAAGTCATTGTGGCCTTACAGTGCAGATTTGACTAGTATAAGTATACCTGGACAAGCACCACTTGCCACAGAGTGGGATCCTTAAAGAAAAAAAGGAACATGCCTTTGAAAAATAAGAGGTACATATACAAAAAGATAACTTACCCAGTCACAGTCTCATCAAAGTCTGAAGAATGGCAACAGGTGGAAGATGATAACCCAATGAGGAAGAAATGGCTATCCGACGCAGATAGTGAGAGATGAATGTATTTGGTGCAGTCCAAATGCCCAATTGAAGAATTTCCTCCAATAGATGACAGAGATGAGACACCAGGGAGTAAGTAAGGTGCATAATCTGGTGAGGAGACACCTGGAACAAATTATGGGAAGAAGGAGACAAAGAAGAATAAGCCAATCGAATTAAAAGTTAAACCCAATTGGTAAGGGTGGAAGGATAAAGGTCACAAACAGAGGATAGCTGCCACAGAATGATGATGTGGGAATGGACACTACAGAAGGTAGCTATGTGGGCAATATAACAATGAAGAAAATGTCTTGGACATAGTAGTCTATCTGGATCAAACTGGAAATATAAGTGGAAATTGAAGGAAGTGAAATCAACGAGAGGGAGGAATTACTCTCACAAGACACCAAAGTTTTGGGAAGAAAAAATTGATCTGAATAAAGGAGAACATATGTAGAATGATACAGGGTATGTGAGATATCAATAGCAAATAAATCTGACAGACAACATCTACAGGACAAGAGGAAAATAAAATAAGTCTTAAGGGATAAGTGAAAAATTGAACAAGACATAGGTTCAAATGGAAGTAAAGTAAGGCAGTGAAGAACCACATTGACATCCCAATCTGGAAGAAATTTGCACCACGGAGGTTGACTAGTCTTGAAGGAATGCAACAATAATGAAATGGTAGAAGAGAAAAAATTTACAGTTCAAGGAAAAACGAAAAGTGTATGATAAGGCAGCCTGATAACCCGTGGTCAAGGAGACAGAAGTCCTCTGATCAAACAGCCAAGTGAGGAAATATATAAGAGGAACAGTTAGATGTGCAGGTGAAAACTCCTAACCCAAACCCCTATGGCAAAAGACATTCCACTTACATTGATAAACATCCATAGAGGAAGGGTGAATGGAATGTGTTAAAAATGAAGTGATTTGCTATGAAAATCCAGATCTCTTTGCCAAGAACTGGATAAAAACCAGGCTTGAAGACAGAGGGGTAGGAAAGATTGGATGAAATGCCAGTGACCAAGGTTGATGTAGAAGGGATGCAGTAAGAGGAAGAAGTAATGGTGGGGCAGATTGGAGCTGGAGCAGCTGCAGAAACCACAGTTGTGCTGGCCAGTAAGGAGCAATCAGAAGGACATGACACAGAGTGATGTACATTATTGAAATCACCCTGGGAAGGAGACACATAAAGGTATTTATTAGTCCAATTCTGGCTGAATGCATCGACAGCCAGTGCAAGTGGATGAGGAACTGGGGACCAAAACAGAGGTAAGTTGTTATTGAGGGATGTGGCAAATGCATCCAGGTGAAGATATCGCACTGAAGGCATAGCCACTGGAAAATATGAGGATCAAGAGACCACTCTGTTGGGTAAATTTTGTCAAGTTTGGAAAGATAATTCATGAAAAGGTTGAATGCACCCAGAACTTGACAAGCAAGAAGACAAATACTGAGCATGTGGGCCCAAAAAGAGATTCAAGGTTCGACCGCAAAGGGAACAAGAACTGGTGCCACCTCATTCATTGATATAAGCTACCACTGAAGAATTGTCAGAATGGATTATGACCAGACGATTCTTGGCAAGATGAAGAAAATTATCCAAAGCACAATGTACAGCCAGAAGCTCCAGAATGTTTATGTGGAAAGATTTTTTTTGCCAGAGACAACTGACCTGAAGCTTCCTGCTGATTGACCCATGTGCCCAAGTCATGGAGGGAAGCGTCCATTAAGATATACAAATCTGGACGAGAGAGAGGAAGAGGAACACCCACCGATGTGTGGTCCTTTTCCAACACCAATGCAGATCGTTGACAAGGGAAGGAGGAAGGGAAATAGGAGCATCCAAGAGATAATGCACAAACTTCCATTGGTTGTGCAGAGTCCACTGAAGAGACCTCACATGCACTTTACTGAATGACATAAGGGTTTCCATAGAAAACCACATCCTAAAAGTGATAGCACCTTGCAAGAAGTAAAAGAGGGAGCAATAAGGGCATGGAGAACCGAAAGCTCCATTAAATGGAGTCGAAAAAGAGAAGGTTGAGCCCAACTGAGATGAGTGTTGAAAAAGACACCCAAGTGGATGAGATATTGGGTAGCTATAAGGAATGACATCTCCAACTTGATTAACCAACCCACATGAGCTGTCTCCAAAAGAAGCAGATGAGTGTGATGAGTGGACTACTGTTCAGAATGAGCTAACCAGCTAACTCAACAAAAGACATACAGGGCTAAAGCAAGCCCAAAGAGTAGGGCACAAAATTGATACACTACCCCATGATTAACAAGCCAGAGATAGCACTTGATGAACGAGATATATTAATATATAATATGAATATGCAGATAAGCATTCAAGACGTCTACCTTAGTCATCCATCGGCCTAGATAAAAAAAATCACCGGAGGGTAAGAAAAGACTCCACAGTAAAGCGAGGCACAACCAAAAATTGACTGAAGTGGGACAGATCAATCACAGGCTACCAGCCCGGTTTTCTTGGGTACCACAAATAGTCAGGAATAAAAACCTGGAGAAGGGTGAGATACAGGTTCAATGACTTTCTGGGAGAGAAGATTCTATACTGCTTTCGTGGTAGGATCCTGAGGCAAGAGAAAGGATATGGGTACCTGAGATAATGAAGGAGGGAAAGGAAGTGGATGAAAAGGTCCTCGAAGAATACCCAAATAACCCAAAGATCTGTGGCAATATCGCGTCATAGGGGAACAAAATCAGTCAATCAATCCCCCACTGAACAGGAATCCACAGGGTAGTCACCAGTACTGCTGGCAACATATCCATCTTTGTCGAATAATGCAATAAGTGGAGGAACCCATTGAGGTAGAAACTGGTAAAGGTTGGAAAGAGTGGGAAGGGAACAGTAATAGGGGATTATCTAGGCTCAAAATGAGATAAACAGTCAACCAAAGATGAAAGGGTTGATTGCTGTCTCACAGATTCCACACAGATTTCTAAAGTCTCAGGAATCTCTCCAAAACAAATCATTGGAGAAAAGGGGCCATACATTAAGTCTAGAAGATAAGTAGGTCATAAACAAACTTGGGACTATACCCAACTCTCCCCAGAAAATCCCAACAACAGAGAAACCACGTGTGTAAGGAATGGGCCAAGGAAGACAAACATGCTAACATTGAGGTAACCAGGGAGAGGGTATCCCTCGAAAAACCTTCAGAGTCTTGGTGGAAAGGAGGTGGATGGTGAACAGGTCCCATTGGAGAGTCAATAGGGTAAGACAAAGGCAGGAAAACTAGGTGTGGAAAAAATGAATAGGTTGATAAGGGTCTGCCCCTACATAGTCAAAAGTAATTCCAACTGATGGTAGGCTAAAGCACATTAATTCAAAGCCCATGGAGGGCGAGGCATGCTAGCACCCTCACACATCTGAGATACAAAATACTGTGCATAAACCCTAATATCTGGGGAAGGAGGTATCATCTAACAAGGAAAGAAGAGGATTATAATAAATCGGGGAAATTGATAAAACAAAACACACCTGAAGAATCATGCCCAAAAAAGCTGCATTAAGCCTAGCTGATTCTGCAGTAGGGGCATAGGAAGACATGGCAAAATCAGGTGGAGGAAAAAGGCTATGAAATTCCTTGTCTTCCTGAACAGATTAGGCATGTTCAGAAGGAAAATGGGCAACATCAGGAAAAGAAGATTGACTCATATAATGATCAATCTCTCTCATCAAATGAGAACTGATAATTTCATAGTTGAGTTCCCCCCTGTGTAAGTGTGTTGGTAGATGGTATTACCTCTGAAGTGGTAACTTGGACATTGGAAATCATTGTTAAAGATGAATAACCGAACACAACGTTAGAATAAATAAATAAAAAACTTGAAGTTATACTTGTGTTCGCAAACATTTGGAAAAGGGGAATAATATTTCCACTTCAGAATATATTACAAAATATATATATATATATAAAAACGAGTTGAAAAAACAATGAAAAACGTCTTGACACAAGCACTGCCAATCAAGAAGTGATAGTTCAGTAGAATCAAATAGAGGGAGTCATATGCGTAAGGAGGGTGTGTCACACTCCTATTGGTGGAGGGTTGTCGCATGATGATTTGTATGCAAGACGCAGTTGAACCAATTTATTATAGGGTACATGGGAGCTCAAAGCTTATGACACGTGAAAAAGTTCTTGCATATAGAAGGCAGCACTGAACAAGAATAGCTATATCTGTGAGTAGAGGAAACGTACCTTATTGGAAACTAAGGACAATCAAATTGATATTGTTTACAAAACTTACTTGTAAACAACAATATTTGCGCTTTCAGGGTCATAAATTTTTAACTAATTGTATGACCACACCCAGGATAAAATTACTTTGAGATGACCATGAGAAACAATTGAATCATCGAATGCAACCTCGATGGACAGGCATCCATTTTTCCAAATCATATTAATGTAAGATAAGATATATAAAAATAATTTATTTTTATTACTTGGCCTATTTTGATCAAAAACGAAGGAAATGAAAAAGAGAATGAAAATGTTTTTTGTTTTTTTAAGCTTTAAATGTTTCAATGAGAGGGCTGGATATATGACACTGGGTTTTTGTCATACCTCTGTTATAAAACAACTGAGCACAGGTTATAAGAACTACTATATTACTTCACCTCTTTATTTGAAACACCCATGTGGTTGGAAATCAATAAAAAGACACTGATTTATGTAATTTTTGTAATGGATAATTTAAAACAGAAATTTCTACTCAAAATCCAATCTATGAAAAATACATTTGAGGTGAACATTCCACAGATGAGGTTCCGTGTACAACTTAACGCAACTTTACTTATAATAATTTGAAGAGTGTTAAGAAACTGAACTCTTTTCTTCTTTTTCTATCCCTAACTAATCCACATCTTATATTCAACCTGAGCTAAAACAGAAAAACATCAAGTAATCCTTTTGATATGTTAGAATGACCTAATAAACACCTGTGTCTGGGTTGTTAGAATAAGGAAAATTTATAGCGTGGTATAAATATGATTAAGAGTTAACCAGAAATATATTTGAAGACTTCATCTTTTTTTATATTTTTTTTTAGGTGCTATCTATCTCCAACCTATGCAGTACTTTTTCTAATGATGGGCAAGAAAACAATGTCAGTGACAGATTGGACGAAATTAATCTAGACTCCCAAAATATTCCAGAAAAAGACCAGGCATACCCTGCATCATCAGAAACGGTAGAAAGTTTAAGTGGTGGGGTAGTTGAGTTTTTTACTATAAATTTTGATCCATACAGCATAGAAAACTTCTTTAAACAATGGCTTCATGATTTCAACACCGATACAGAATGTGTACGATTAATCTTTTCGGGAGGAGAATTGTCAGAACAATTCGTTATCAAATGTGATGCCCAGGAACGAATGGTCAATCCAGAAACTGTTCCTTTCAGTAGCCAATTTTTTCTCTCATTAGATGCAAGTTTCACACAAATAGCCAATTCCAGCCAAGCTAAAAACATAACCAAAAAGGTACCAGTTTATGACCTAAAAGTTGAAAGTACAATCAAAATTTCTGGAATTTGTGATTCTGTCCTTTTCGGTCCTCCTGTTATTATTTTTGCAACTCGCTGTTGGAAGATGGACTGGGAAGAGTTAGAATCTAATCAAAAACACTTTGCTGCATTAAACAACCTATTGAAAGAAAAGGGTGTGGTGCTGTTAGCACGAAGACAGGCTAAACTTTACATTTCTAATGCAGACAACAGAGGGAGTCCACCTAATGGTTATTACGTAATCTTCCCCTCTAATAATCAGTCAATGTTAATTAAAAGTATCATCACCAAGGAATTTTTACTTCCAAATGTGATGGGTTCTGTAACAGAAGTAATGATACCCTCTGATGAAGCAAAAACCAGAGTCTCAGATTCTCTTAAACACTTGGAATGTTGGGAAACCTACAATCCACTCTCAGTTTCATGTGGATTGTATTCGCACTTGGCTAACAGTCTAAGAAAAAAGAAACCACAGAGGGTTTGTAAAAATGTAATTTCTTCTAACAGTCAGAGTGGTAAGATAAGGCACCTTGCCCCTTGTCCAGACACCTCAAATAAAAGGTTAAGAAAAACTCCTCAGACAAAGGAAACAGAACTTCAATTTATAGCAGTAGGAAATAAGAAAAATTTCTTAAGCACCGCAAACAGTAAAATATCTCATCTATTAAACAGAAACTTTCCAAAAGACCTGTAAAATTATAATGGAATGTGTAATAAATGTAAAAAAACAACTGTCACATTTTTAAACAGCATTATATATTTATTCATATAGTGAAATTAATGGCATTGTGCTTGAAAAAATATAAATAACATTACATAATATACAGTCTAAAAATTAAATACATTATTGATTAATCATACACACGACTAGTTGATGAGTAGTGATGAGTCATTATTACATTAAACTTACATCAGATAGTGTAATGATTTTAATATTTTATAAAATACTAACTTTTAAGCATACTTCGTTTTTAATTTTTATCACGACATGAGCTTACGATGTTAAATCTATTTAGAATAATAGTTTTAACAACCTTCAAACATTTCCTCTGCAATAGCTTATCAAAGTAAATCTATTTTAAGTTCTGAAAAGTGTCAAAAGAGGTTGTGAACAAGAATCATTCAAAATTATTTCACTACATTCCAAGTTTCAAGTACTGATGAACCAAATGAAAGAATGTGATTTTAAAAATAAATTAAGACATTGTTTTGAAAATTTCAGTTTGTTCTACATATAGTTTGTGCCATTCGTTTACCAGGTAAAAAAAGGGTTCGTCTACTCCAGTCATGTCTTTCTGAAAAGATAAAAAACAAAACAATTACATCTAGGGAAATTAGTTATTTGTTTAAATCTTTAGGTGTTGGAAATAATAATTGTTTTCACAGTGAAGATTATCTGAAGTGTTCAATCCAAAGTAAATGTAACTTAGGTTTGTGGTTAACTTTCTTTACCAAAAAACATGAAAGTACATGTTATATTACACTGTGGTGAAAGAAGCAAACATATCTAAAGATAACATAATTAAAAAATAAAAAAGGAAATAAGACATCATTTTTTCAATAAATTTTCATTTACAGCAACTGTTTAAATATAAACAACAAGCATAAACTGAAGTACCATCATTGGAATTCACTGAAAATACTTAGCTACAGAAGAGATAAATCCAATTATCACTGGAATTCATTGAAAATATTTAGCTAC